ATTATTAATATGCCTAAACATATATTATGTATGCGTATGTATATAAAATGGTAGTAAATTTTGTTTTTATATAAAATGAAAATAATAGGATTTTGTTTTTTTTTTTCAAAAAAATTTACAGTCAAACCTGTTTATAATCGATCGTTCACAGTATTAATTATTGATTATATTCACAGTATTAATTAAGACATATCTTGCTATTTTTGAAAAAGGCGACATAATACTCTATTTCATATTCGAACTAATTCGAACCTTGCTTTAAAGAAAATCAACTTATAATCACGAAATTTAGCATACAAAATTATGTAATTTCTTTCAATTAAATTCACAATCATCGGTTGAAATCACATTCATAATCAAAATTTGACAAAAGAAATTTCTAAGAAAAATTCCGAACATAGCTAATATAAAAATATTTAAACAGAGACTATTTTAAATAAGAGGGTGTATTCAATTAAATAAAAATTGCAACATCTGTCGGAAATTTTATGAAATAAATGATGTTAATACAATATAAAATTTCCAAAAATGTTAATACAAGATAAAAATATATAATATTAATAAATGTATTAATTAAAAGAAAATCTCTGAGAAGATAAACACAATATATAAAAATATTTTTATTTTAATCACTAATTGATTTCCACCATAACAAAATCGAAATTGTAATAAAATATTGAGTTTATGGAAAAAATTATGAGTTTTATGGAACACATTTAATTGGAATAAATAAATTTATACAAAAAAGGATATTCATAATATTGTTTAAATAAAAGAAAATTTATAGGTATAAGGACAAAAATAATTTTAACTCTTTTCAAGAATATTTTATTTGCAATATCCGATTTTCTGTTTTTATGTTTTTAAGTGTTAATAACCTACCTACTGCTTTGATTGTTTACAAATTTTTGGGTATTCATAATAATTGGAAATTAACATAATTATGTGTCAGACTTGGAGTTGATGACAAATTCTAAGAAAAATACACTGGTCTTTCGAAATCTTTATGAATTTCTCGATAGACGAATTAGATTGGTTTTCTGATTGGGTTCCGTGGGAATTCTTTAATGTCGAAATATTGGAATGCTAAGTTTTTTTTTTTCACACAAAAAAGCATATTGATATCAACGTTCAATCAATTAGGAAAACCGTCGTGTACAGTACGGTTCAGTGGGAATTTATTGTTTAATTTGGTTGTAGTTGGAACATTCAATCACTGTTTTAAATTTAAATTTTAAATAAGAATTATGCAAAATATTTCATATGAACAGAGAAAATTCTTCAATACAATATTTTGGTCTAAAAAATTATACGAGTAATGTAAATGATAAATATTTGTCATAACTGGACAACTTGATAAATTGAACTTGATAAAAGATTATTTTCTTAAAGATTTCATGCATTCCTGTAACACTTAAAAGACACACATAAATTCTAAAATTCTTGCATCAAAAAAAATTACAATTAAATAAGTTAATTATTTTTTATAGGAAATGGAAAAATCTAAACACTTTTTGGTCATATATCTGTAGAAATTCGTTAGAATTCGCTGAATTTATATTTTTGATCAATTCTAGATAATTGTAATATTTATTTCTCTTAAAATTTTCCAGCATCGTAAACTATTTTTTAGAAAATCAAGTTTTTCCAATTAAGAATGTGTCATAGTATCAACTTTGCTTAATCTAAATTTTAACAATATTTATTTATTAAAATAAATTTAACGAAAATTTAGTTGATTAATATTTCTAGTTTTTGGAAATTTATTCAATTATAAAATCCATTAGAGTTTTTGGTAAATAATTCGAGTGCTATTATACTTAATCATATGAACTATATCCTATATAAATGTGACAAAATTATAAATGACAGCACTACTCATAGCAAAATAATTATTATATTGAGTATATCGAAAATTGATATAGTTTTGAATTAATTAAAAATCGTAATACAATTTTTCGTTCTAATCTAAAAAATTTGTATACATACATATACATATATAAAATTAATTAAAATTCGGGAAAAATTATACTGGAGAAAAACAAGTGAATGTAATATCAAAAAAAAAAAATACAAAATCAATTGAAATGTGACGAGTGAACATACTTGATACCCGCTTAAACTGAAGTATCCTTATTTTCGTAAAAAAATATGTAATTAATTAATTTTCCCCGAAAAATAAAGAGAAAAAAATAAACAATGCGAAAGTATCATTTTCAGGAATATTGTATAATACTTAGAAATCTATAGCAAATGAGTATTTTTTTCTAATAAATTTGGTATTTTGTGTTATTTTGGATCTGATAAAATATTTAGATGAAATTTTTTATTCTCGATATGAATTCGAATTATTTCAGTAATTTAATTTTAATATTGGAAATTGTATTCATATAAATTTTCAATGGTAATAATTTTGTAAACAAAATGAATCGCAACAGAGATTAGTTATTAACATTTTCCTAGATTTGATATTGAATATTCAAATTTTCATTTTAAATATGTTATTTTTATCTTTCGATTAAAGGGAACTATTATTTTTAATTTCAGTATTATTGATACATGGACGGCGGAATATAAGAATATTTTTAACCGGTTACATGTTTATTCTTGAGGAAATTGATTTTTATAAATTCTGTGAAATACACAAGTTTTGAAAAGATCTGTACTCTTATTGTATTTTCATTTTGTGTGTAGTTGGACATTAATTTGATAAGTTATTTTCAGTGGATTTTCCAAAATTACGGTAAGGCTTTGATATTTTCTTGTTTAAAATAGGTTAATTGAACAATCGGATAATTGAAGATAGGGTTTTTAGTGAAATTAATTATACATACCATATGACATTAAAATATATTTCCTGAATTTACTTTTATAATATTTTAATGGTATTTTGTGTTTATTGTAAAAAAGCATTGAAATATTTTACATGTTAGGTGTGACCACAGCAATACTCCACATTTTTCTTTTAATTTTAAATCTTGTCACCAACTGATATGATGACTTAGTGCTTTTACTCCCAAATATTTGTTAGATTCAATTTTAGTTTGTCGTTTTATGAACTTTTTTCCCTTACAAATTAAGGAATTAAAATATTTTCATTCTCCTGCATTGTATGCACTCGTATGTGTCTACATGATGTCTACCTAATTGAATTTATTATTATTTTTTTCAAAATTAATTTTAAAATCATATTCTCTATACTTTGTAATCTTTTTCAATTTATTTTTGCCATAAAATATGAAAATGTTCTGATTTCTGCTGATCATTTTGATAACCAAATCAAATAAATATTATTTTGCTTTTAATTTAATTAAATTAATTAAATATTTCATACAGAATTTTAAAATATTCATTATAATTTTAAATGTTATATAATGAATTCAATTATATTTTTTGAAAATATCTGGTTTAGTTGAAGTGTTCGTAGTTGATTGTAAATGTAAAATAATAATTATTAGAATTTTATGAAATTATGCAATTCAGCTAAAAATTTTTTAATTAGAAATTCAGTGAATTTTGTATTATGTAAGCTAATGAACAGTATTTGACCTAATTTAATACATTGTTACATAGTATTTATTATGTGTAGAATCGCATTTGTGTAGAATTTGTGAAAATAATTAAAAATATTCATTTTTCACTTCATATTTTCTACATAAGTAGAAAAATATGAAATGAAAAATAAGAGAAAGACTTTTAATAAATATTCAATTATCGTTTTATTCCAATTTTAGTAAATACAAAATGAATTGCAATTAAGTGTTAAACATGCTTAATACATGTTATACTCACTTTTAAGTTGAATCTTTGAATTTAAATTTGAATTTTTTCATATATTTTTTTCATTATTTATAACTTTTTAATAATGCAAGAGTACTTTAAAAGTGAAAATAATTTAAATTTTGTAAATTTTTCATGGCTTTAGGTCTCCAGTTTTATATAAAAATAAAAATTATAAAAAGTTAAAATGAATTTGAAATACTTTCACTAACAAGTAAATTTGATGCAAGGTTCAAATATTTTTATTCATTAATGAACACAATCTAATGAACTACAAAAGTGATTATTATTGTTTTATGTTGGTTATATAGATTATATATAATTCGAAATACATCGATATATAATTCGATTCATATGTTACCACCTTCAGTTTTACATTATCATTTATCACGTTATAGTTGTGACCTAGGAAAGAGGATGTGAAATCGTGATATTTCAGAGAGTATAACTTTTTAAACATGTTTAAATCAGCTATTAATTTTGACTTATTCTATTAAAATTTCTGACAAACATTTAAAATAAAGTATGTAGGTTCATAATTAAATGCAATATGTGATTTAGATCTAAGAACGTTTTCACATCGCTACGCCACTATTTGAATTTGAACTAAATTTGTTTAAGAAATTTTTTAATTTTAAATATCTTTATTGTAAAATTGTAATTTATATGAGTTATTAATTGTAAATGAGAACTACAAATTTACAACCAATTTATTTTAAATATCGCGTTCATAAGGCGTGAAATGAGAGCAAAAACTAAATATTGTACACATGAAAAGGAATTTTTAAAACTTCGGAGAAAAATTTAATCGCAAATCTAGAAAATTATTGAAAATTCAACGAACTTATTATGACTATTTTAATTTTTTCATAATATTCGAAATATTCTAATATTTAAATAATAAAAATTTATTTTTCAAGAAATTTTATAAAAGTTAATTTAAAAATTATTATAATATTTTTTTAAGCACATGCTATACCTATCTATTATAATATTAAAAATAAATTATAATCTATCGGCTTTACAAATAAATTTTCTTAAATACTAAAATTTTATTTACACCTAAATTTTTTAATAGTTTATTGATTTTATATTTTAAAGAAATTAAATCTCTATACCCAAGAAGTTTTTATACATAAACAAGAAAATCAAAAAAAAAAAAATTTTAAATGTTTTAATTGTAAAAAAATTATATACACTCATGTATTATGAATTTAACTCTAAAGAACTGTTTCATTAGTACATGTTCTTGGTCCATTAACTAATGAATATTTTGATGAACTATCTTTAGATGCTTTAATACCATTTTTCATAAAGATCTCTTTAAATGTTTCTCTAAATTGTCTTGACATACCACAATAAATTGCAAAATTAATTGGATAACTAATTATTAATATAAAGTTTATAAAAAGTACACATAAATTAGCAACTTCATAATTTAAAAAATCAAAAAATGATACTGATATGATATGCAATACCGTTAATACAGCATTTGGTATTTCAACTGTTAAAAATACAGTAACAACAACAATTAACATCAATGTTGTACAATTAGCATCACGTAATTTTTTACATTCTTTTTTACGATTCTCTTTTAAAAGTTTTTCACGTTTCTCTTGTGCCAATTTCATAGCACGAAATAATAATATATTTAATGTTACAAGTATTATACATGGTAATAAATGTACACCAAATACCCTAAATGTATAATAAAACCAATAATAATAATCTTCACCAACAGCTATTACCCATTCAGCACCATCAGTTTTACATGTTAAAACTGTTGTATTATTCCAATTGATTTTAACAGCACTATATGTCCTGTGAATATAGAAAATAAAAATAAATAAAAAATTTGTTAATAATATTTTCTAAAACAATATCATAAGATTAAAAATTCTATATTAAAAACTAAATAAATGAATAAAAAAGATCCATACATTGGGGTTGGCGACGGAGGAGAATGGAAAGATTTTCAAAGTGAAGAGAATATGATTTTTCATTTTAATGAGCTCTAAAATATTATTTATAGATTTTTTTATTGAAATGTATGTTGTGGTATTGAATATTGATTTCTTAATAAACTATTATTAAAATTTTACGACAATTAATTTATTTTTATTAATATTAAGTATGTGTACAACTGTAAATATGTATATCTCAATACAATACGTTCTTGTTACGAACTTTATGGTGATTATAGTGGTGAGTCTTTTAAATAAAATGCTGTTGCAATCCATTTCTTGGAAACCAAAATATAAGTATAATAATATTTTATTCCCGTGATATTTTCGATTACTAAAGGTTCTAGCGCCAATGTTTTTGTAAAAATTTGAAATAAAATAAAATTTTGTTATAGAGCTTAATACCATTAAATTATGAATTTAAAAATTTATAAACTTATATGACATTACTAGTGAATATTTGTTCACGATCCTACCCAGTTGTTTTTAGTAGTAGTTAAATACTTTATGAAACTGAATTGAATTTTCCATTATTGAAGAAATTGCATCAATTGGCGGCTCCTATGTCTGACAAATTTTATTCAAACAAATATATTTTTTGTTTTAAGATTGAAATAAATAAACTTAAGGATTTTCTTAAATGAAAATATATTAAAATAAAAATAATCCCTAAAAGTATGCAATGTTTTTTTTTTTAAATGAAAACTTATTTCGTTTTAAGAATTTTTTTTAGAAATTAGTAAATTGAGGTATTTCATTTCGGTTAAATTTGAAATATTTTCACGTATTTATTGTTATATTTTTATACTCTTTTATGAAAAAATTCCAAATTACTAAGAATTAATATTTAAGTATGTTCTTTACAGATAGTTCCAAAAAAAATGTAATTTAATTAATCATTTAAACTAAATAAGAAAGCGTTACAATCAAAGTATATGTAATTAAAAATTACAGAAACAACAAAATTAAAACTGTCAACTGTGGAAGAAGTTATGTATGTTTCCAATTTATTGAATATAACATTTTTTTCAAAGTTCCGCGAAAAAATTTTTCATAAAATATTTAAAATTTTTTTTTCCGGTCCACAAATTTTTCATATGAATTTTTTATTTTATGCACAAATCTTTAATTGACTATCCTGTAATAAATCAAAATTTTTGTCAAAAATTATTTATATCATATGTTGACTTATGGTGGAGTTATTTACAATAACTCCACCATAAGTCAACACTGTTGTAATAAAATTGAAAATTTTACAACATAAAATTTGTCGTCAGGATATCAGAAATCAAAATTTTTTTATTCGTCACGTAAGCTATTATTATAGCTGTTTTATTCCTTTCTTTTTCCATATTACATATATTTATACTACATTCTGAGTGAGACATACTAAAAGAGTTAACTTTGTACACATAATTCAATTTAAGAAACAGAAAGCTATCCATTTTCAGAGATATTTTTAAAAGATCAAAAATGTGAATTATTTAAAAATATTTATGTGCTATTAAAATATTTCAACAAACAAATTTTACAGCTAATAAATTCCATTTTACTACATAGTTTTGATTTTATCGTAAAACTATTTTAAATTTAAATATTTATACAATGTTTTCAAATTTATTGTTTCTCTATAAAGTTGAGTCACGTTTTCCTTACTACATATACCTTTTCCTTTTAAGTTTTATGTTAAAAGAAATGAACTTAAATTTACCATCAAAAATATCATTTAAATTTCTTCCAATGTAATCCTTTTATCATTTCAAAAAACAAATAAAACAAACAGAAATACATGCATTTTTAAGTGCAATTATATAAAAAGGAATCAAACTAAATACAAACTGTACTACAATAATAATAATAAATAAAAGGTAATAAAAAAACATAAAAAGGATTTAAAAAAAAAAATAGGAAAATAAAATTTTTTACTATTGTTTATTTTTTGGTCTTTAAAATAACTTGAAGCTGTCAACTTTATAGCAATTTTTCTTTTATTTTTTTTTTTTAAGGATAAAAGGAAAATTATTTGTTTTTCTTATATTTGCTTGAGGTGTACTTACGTATCAAAAAATCTTGTACTTTGATGCAATACTGCTGCTATAAAAATATACAATGTACAACGTTTTACTCTTGGCATTGTACACCAAGTTCTCGCCATTGGGGCATGACAAACATATATGTACCTGTAAATAAAACACAAAAGTAGGTGAACAAAAATGAACAAATATTATAAAAAAAATACATGGAAAGAAACTTTTATTAGACAGGGTTATAAAGGACCTAAACAAAAGTCGTTTCGTAATTTTCATATTTTAACATTTTTTGTGTAAATAATAGAAAATTATTAAAAAATAAAGTTGGGTCAAACCAATGGTTTCTATTGCAGCACTTTTCCCTTCAACAATTGAAAATATTGCTTTTAAATACAGTCGATGTGTACCTATTACACTATTAAAAATATTTTCATTCATATTCGACACTATTGCTACGATTGCATATATTTAGGATTAACAGTTTATGCACTCTTTGAAATAAAGCAAAAATTAATATAAAAAGGGGTTAACATAATGGTTGATTTTAAGGGTTAATTGCGTGACTTAAGAAAAATAATTATATTTTTTAATGTCATAAAATTTACCGTTAGCTTTTTGCGTTTATAGAAATTCGAAAAAGCTTGCGGTTTCGAAAATATAAGGCGTCAAAAATTCAAGTTTTACAAATTCAAGAGGCAATAACTTGAGACGGGGTGGATATGTAAAAAAATTTTCTTCTAACGAAATAAAATATTGATTAGTATCTAAAAGCTGCTAAAATTTCAGGGTCCTACAAGCTCAGGTCTAGAAAAACAACGACATCAAAAATTTGGAAAAAATGGATTTTATATAACGGTGTAGTACCTATCTTCAAGGGTGTAGAAGTTTTGTAAACAGACACACGGACTGACGAACGAACGGACAGGGTGAAGCTAATAAGCATTTTTTTTTCAAAAATTTTTTGGAAAAGTGCTAAAAAGGAAAAATTAATAAACATTGTCATTTTAGACAATTCATAAAAATTTAAACGAAAAATAGAAAATAAGGATATTTTTATAATATAAAGATATATGTGCTTTTTCTCCTACATGTCCTTTCCTGGTGTATGTGTTAATTTGAACGCATGAAATGTAAATTTTTTGTTATAACATGTTACTCTTGGGAATTGGTTTTATTCTTGTTTTGGTTTTCTGGTTAACCGTAGCACAGTTATGAAATAATAGTATTTAAAAATTATTTCAAAATTTGTATTTCGAAATATTTCATGCTGTAAATTATATAGCGAAATGCAAGACGACTTGCTTGAATAATATATTTATGATATAAAAGAATTAAAGGGAATGATCAGTGACTCGTTCACATTTAATTTTATTTCCTATTGAAGAATCTCAATTGTTATTAAGTTGAGTTTGTACTTTTGGAATTATTCTAAAGCTATGATTCAAGCATCAAAAAATTTTTATATGAACAAATGGCAAAATATCTCAAAAAAATCTGAATAAATAAATTTTGTACTTGTAATAAATTAATTCTTGTGTACTATTTTATTGGATTTTTAACGTCCTTTTAAATTTTAGAATTAAAGAATAAAAATCATTTCTTCTTAAGTGCTGAAGGCTGGTGATTTCTTTTTCATAATCTACTACTCGCCGTATTAACTATATTTTTTAACCAAATGGAGACAGTGATTCGGATAGATGACTAAACGAATGAAAAAGAAAATGGTCCGATGAGATGGAAAATTTCTATAATAAAAATTTTTCTCTAATATTCTTTTTAAATTTCCTAAAATACACAAATATAATGCAGCAATTGAATTGAAAGCGTGAAGTAAATTCGTCAATATAAGAGTGTTTTTAAAGAGAATAACTCTTAATCTGCCTTTAAATTTAATCTTATAAGAACGTGATTTACGATATCTTTTAAATTTTTTAATTGCGATCTAAGAATCACTTATTAAATTTTTAGTAGTTTTTATAAAAATTAAAGTTTCATATAAGATCTTGACTTACCTATGCGCTGCTAATGCTACTGTTAACCATATGGACGCCGTGTGAAATAGATTCGGCATAGTCTGTAAAGAAACATACAAAAAATTGTTTGTTTGTTCAAACTCACATATTAAAAAAACTTATTATTTAAACATTAAATTTAAAAAAATTGCATATTTTCAGGGGTAATGCTTAAAATATTCAAAATAATCTTCTTTTAGAACATGTGTTGCTTTTAATTAAACCATTTTGGTTATTAAATTTAAGTATTCCTTGAAGAAATATATTAAAATGTGTTTTTTTTTGGCAATAAAGTGGGTTAACTAAAACTGAATCACCACCATCATTAGTTAAATATGTTGAATTTAATAAGGAGTAGCTTCTCATATAAACTAATTCATTTTTCTTTGTAAATTGTTGCAATTCAAATTTCCACATTTTTGACTCAATTTTATTTTTGGAAAATTTGGACAAAACAAAATATTGGTTACTTTTTTTGCTTTCCCATTCAGTATTTTTAATAAATTGCAAATAATATTTTAATATATCTCGAATTATGGGTTTTTATAATAAAATTGAATAACAAAATCTAATGTGGCATGTAAATGAAATAAGAGTGCTATTATATAAGCTTTATATATACATATTAATGGTAATAAGGTTTGTATCATGACGTTAGAGCTCTTTCTATTAAGATTATAGGCATACAATATTAATATATAGCGTTCAAAAACTTGATCGAATGTGTATATATGAGCAAATAATAATTTATTTTAATGTGCTTTCAATACACTTAATTTGAAAAATAACAAAAGCGCAAAAACGAAAAAGAAAGGAGCTTAGTCCTTGGTAAACAATTTTCAATAAAAATATTATAAATATAACTAATATTTGGTCATAAAAATAGCAATGATCTGATGCTGAGATTTGATTTTTCTTAAAGGATACGAAATTAATATTCGTAAAAATTTTTCATTCTAATGTAACAAAAGTTAGTAAAGCAATTTCATTAATTTTTTATTATTTTTTTTATTGAATCGTTCATCATTCTTTGCATATAACATAAAATGAATTCTTTATAGTTTGTTTCCATGGTTAAATATAGCATAAGAAGAGGTATTATAAATTTAATACAATAATAAGCTGATATAAATATTAAAATTGCTGCTCTATTGAAACGAAAATGTTTTGAATTTTAGGCTTAAGTGAAAAATAATTTTTCTTTTTACAAATATCAATTATTTGCACGAAGCATCAATTCTCATGCAACACTAAAATTTCGCTCAAAGCAAAATGAATAATAAATATTGTAATATCCTTGCCATAATCTAATTTAATTTTTAACCTCAACTAATATAGATCACTTATTTTACAATATAAATTAATAATATTGGAGGTTTAGTAAATTAATTAATGTGTAAAAATAGTAAACTTCGATTATGTCAAATTAGAGGCAATCTCTATATTATAAAAATTTCCCAAAAAAATTTATTAAATTTTAAAAATAGTTTTCAAGCAGAGATTTTGCGACAAGAAATTTTTAATTAATCATACTTGAATTAAATATTCATGGAGTTGCTTAAATTGTATAACTACGTATAATAAAAATCTTTCTTAATTTTATATTAAATGAGCATTATCAAATGATTATATAAATTTGAATTTTCGAAATTCCTAATGAAGTAATTTATAAAAATTCAAGGTAGATTTGAAATTTCTTGGAAGACTTGCTTTTTTTGTATTATACTTAAAGGATTAATTTTCACTAACCTTGTTCTTATAAGAATCATCAGAAAAATTTGGTGGAAAAATTTTCAATTAATAATTTCTTGGGAATTATTTCATGATCATAACTCAAACTTTTAAATTTTCTATTTATATAAAAATTATATACAAGCCTACATTTAATTTATTTTAAATTATAATTTTAAGGCATTCATAGTTAAAATTGGTTTGTTTGAAAGATTTGCAAAATAAAATGATAGAGTTTCTAATTTCAAGAATTCATTATTTTATTATTGTTATTACACACCCACTTAGATATTGCTAGTTAACTTAGATATTGCTAATCTTGTAAGTCTTATCTAATACATTCAAATAATTTTAGTGTCTTGAAAATAATATTTTGGTTCATTACTTAAAGGCGTACATTTGATGTATAACACTTTCTTCATATTTACTATAAATAGAATATTTTAGTCCTTTAAGAAAATCATTTCAAAATTAAATCTTGGGGCAATTAATCTATTTTCTAAAATAAATAAGTGATAATTTAAATTTATTCTAATATTATAATAAATCTAAGATGATGTTAATATTTCTATTACAATATTACAAAATTTTAATTGATTTCATTCTAAAATATTTTAAAGATTTGAATTGGTTCTTAAATTCCAATGAAATCTTTAATATCCTTACAAATTTTTATTCACCTTCATACTAGTTATTCTTTTTATAAACACATGTACTTATTTATGAATATTAAATCCCGATTTTCATTATATAAAAAAAAAACACTATCAAAGGAAATTTATAATTATTATTTGGCAGCTTATCGATTATTTAAGAAGTAAAAATTCTTTGTTTGAGGAAGATTTTTAATTAATAATGGCATTGTGGATGACCTTTATTTTATGAATTAATTATTATAAAAATTTAAAAAGAACCTTGGTTACCTTGGCGAATTAGTATCTTTTGATTAATTTTCCTTTTTTTTTTATGTTTGAAAAAATTAATACACAAATGAGATAATAAAATTTGAAATAATTTCTAATTAGATTAAATTAATTATTATTAAGGGAATTTTGTATAAAAGTTGATAAAAATTTTTTTATTAAAATTATCAAATAACAATTAAAGAATTTCAAAAGTTTTCTATAAAATTTTACTTTAGCATCAATGAATTTTTTATTGAATTAAAATCAATTTCTTTACGATTTGAAAAAAAAAAAATGCGAAAAGAAATTAATTACAATAACACCATGGTGATCATTTTTCTAAATATCGAAAGTTTAATAGTAAAGTTAAGTAACAACAAGTTGGCTTATGAATGGAATGAAAAGACTGGGTGAAATTTATTGAAAAAAAGTGAAATACGTAATTCATTTATGTGTAATTAATGATTTTTAGAAGAATTTAATTATAAGTTGACTGGAACTTTTAAAGCAATAGTTAGGTGTGAAGAGTGATTCAAACTATTTACAATTTTATAGAATTTTTTAATTAATAATGCAAGATTTCTTGTTAAGTTGAAAAGAGAACAAGGGCAGTTTAGGGCGAAGGGAGGAGATCGCTGGGAAATGTCAAAATTCACATACAAAACACATATTTTAATGGGACTGCTAAGAATCAAGCGAAATTGTTGTGGCGAATTCCAGTACTGGAGCTTTTCATAGTTATAATAGCATATTTTCATTTAGGCAAACAAAAACAACTAAAAAGAAGTTGAATAATTTATATTAAGAAATTCGAATAGATTTTCTGTGCAATTTTAAATTAATACAAAAGAGAATAATTGTGATCCTGATTAAATTTTGATGGAAAATAAAATAAAGTCAAAATATAATTCATTGAAATAAAGGTGAGAAACTACCCCCATCAAAATTTTTAGTTATTCGGAAAAAATTCAATTTGGGGCTTCTATTTAGTGCAATAAATGAACGGTTAAAAAAATCCTCTTAGCCTTCCATAATTGTTTTCGATAACAACCTAAGTTTTCATTATTATTTCCATAATTTGTACACGAATTTATTTACAAATAATTTATAAATTCTACGTAATATTCAAAGTGCGTATAGAATTAAATTTTAGGAATTTTGGACACATGTCCTTCAGTTAGCAAAATTTACTTCTAGATTTTAAAAATCGAAAATTCAACATTCTTTTAATAAAGTTTAATAACATTTTATTAGAAAATAAATTCATTCTTCATTATACTTAATAAATATTTGCGATTACAATGAACAGTCGATACAAAAACTATTTAATTAATTCCTCATGAACTTTCATATATACATATATACATTCTTAAATATCTCAAGATTTCCAATTACATTCTTTTGAAACAAAGCTAATTAAATTAGAAAATAAGATTTTTATTGAGTAAAACCAAAAAAAAAATTTTGTTGAGTTTTTTGGTATTTCGGAATTATACGTTCAAAAAATAAAAAGTTTTCAAAGATGAAACTAGGAAATAAGAGACCATTTTTTCTTAGTATGAATTCTCTATTGAATGAAATGTTATCTAAGATTGAATATTAAATTTTCTTAGAGCTTGTTTTTCTTTACTTCCTCCATAACTCCTAATATTTTGTTTCATTTCCTTTAACTAAGTTGTTTTCGTTTTACACAATTAATTTCGATTCCGTAAGGTTACTTTTTTTTGCTGGCTTCTCTTACATAAGGTAAATAAAATTATTCAGATTGTTTTCTTTTTGGTTTTTTTCTCTTCTTTCTATTACAATTTATTTTCTTTTTGTCAATTTAGCACACAAAAATATTCTGTTAATGTTTACTTCTGATCACGTGTTCAAAAAATGTATAAGAAATACGAGAAATGCTTATTTGATAAAGTTAAACAAAAAATGGTATAAGGACATAGGAATAAAACCAGAGAATTGAATTGTTCAGTAGAACATTCGGTTTTTGTTAGCATGATATGAGGCTTTAATATGAGGGTTTTTGTTTTTTAAAACTTTCTTACATATATAAATAATTTGCTTAAATTCGAGATTTTAAGTTTTAACCAGAGGCGAAATTTATTAAGATATTAATTGCTTTAATTAAAAGAGAAGAGGAGTACATTTAAACTGTAGGTAGTTTTAAATAAAAGGACACCGAAGTGAATTTCCTGTAAGTGTGTATATTGCAAACAGAAATTGAATAAGATATGGATTAATCCTAGATAATTCAAATGAAGAAAAATTTCGTTTACGATATTTTTAAATAGGTCATTTCTTTCGAAAGTTAATAAATATTTTTGCAAGAAAATTAAAGTTTATAATCAGATTTGGAGTGGTCTTGCAATAGGAAGTTTCAAATGAAATCCAATCACATAATTATAATCTATCGCTTTGTATGACTTTCAAATTAATAATTATGTGGCGTGTACACAAGTCCATGATTTTCGTAAAATTGAAGTAAATTAATTTAAAATAAATCTGTTGTAAAAAACTCAAATACAAGTTACAAAAGGAATGGCAATTTTCAAATACCATAAAAATTACGAGAAAACAAGAAGAAAAAAAACAGTATGAAAATCTCTGTCGTAAGGATATTTTACTAGTTTTTATTCTGAAAACGTCTGAATTTCGTATAATGTTCACTCAATTTAAAGATGTCCAACGATGTTTTTTTTGTTTTGTGAATAAGGAAAGAAAATTATAAAAAATGAAAACAAATAAATATTTTAACCTTGATCCTTGATGTGTTGAAATGAAAATATTATATTCACGTATGAGTGTGTGTGTGTGTACTTTCATTTGAAATAAAAATTGTTTCCTTCTTTTTTTTTGCATTAATTTTTCTTCTCTAGCAATTTTTTCTACATACGTTCTTCTATTCAACATTTATTTAAGATTTCTATAAACTTACTGTGATGGTTATTTGTTAAGTTGGATGCTATGTGGAAGGCAAAAGTTCAAATCTTATATATGAGAAGATTAAAGAAGTATTTTTGCACTTATTAAATAATCAAATAAATTAATTTTCATGTTTATGTTGATGCATGTAATAATGGTGTTTTACATTTACAACTGACATATAAAATTGTGAGATAAATTTTTCAGGATAAAATTCTAATGGATTATTTTTATTATGTTTTTTTTTTTTTTGGATAGGATGGTTAAAATAATAAACGAATTGTGGAGTAAATTAATCAAAAATGTAAAAATTACAAAGTAACATTGGAAGTAAATAAGGAAAGTACTTTCTGTTTTATTACAGACTCTTTTATATGCATATTCTGGCCTATGAAGTTCGAAAAATAGTAAAAAAGAAAGTGAGCCCTTGAGAAATTTTAAGGAATTTAAAACTGTTCGATGTGAATTCAAACAATCAACTGTTAATAATTTGAAAATTTTCATGTAATTTGGGCTCGATTCATCATAAAAAGGCAAGATAACCAAGTTTACGTCGATTTTTTTCAGTCTTACAGAGAAAATGGGAAGAAATGTCTTTATTCTCCTTTTTGGTATAGCTTACAGTTATATAATACGTTTGTGTAAAAATTTTCATTAATAATATTTAACAGTTCCGTTTGGTGTAACTTATAACTTTTTGCTTCAAAATTATATGTATAACAAAATCTCATCATCTTCCATGATCGCCATTAGTATATTATTAGAAAACGGTTGAAAATATTTCTAATTTTTAAGAAATAATTTTTAATTAACAAAAAAATAATTTAGATATTAAGTCATTAAATAAATTTATTAGATATTGAAAAATGGCTAATAGATGTAAAATAATAGTATTTTGAAATTGACTTACCTCATTGAACGTATTAAAAGCGTAACAAGCTACAGGCGAGGTAATCGGTTTATAATGATTCCCTAATGAATACATATAAAAAAATCCTGGGGCGGGAAATAATACTGTAAGCATATCACACCAGGCCATACCTAAAATGTAAATAAATAAAAGAAAAATAACAAAAATTCATATTTTATAAAATTATTTATTTAATAAATATAAAATTAGATGTTGAACGCTAAATCTTAACAGTCAACTATCGAATGTCATCTGTCAAATGTCAATTATCAAATGTCAACTGTCACATGTCACCTAACAAACGACAATATGCCAATCATTAACTCTCACCTGCCAACTGCCACCTGTCTTCTGTCAACAGTCACCTGTTAAATTTCGAAGTTCAAATGGCAAATTTCAAAATCAAACGTCAATATTGTCAATTTAATATAAAATTTAAGCAAGTGAATGCCAAACATTTGAAAAAGCTATACGTCTGGAACGTTGACTTAAACATTATAACTCAAATGTAGAAAAATTTTCAATGTTAATTCTGTTGCATCTCTTTTCATTATTCAAGATTCTGTTAATTTTTGATGAATACCATCAAATATCAGAAAACTGTTTTTTTAATGGAAACTGAGAACTAAATTAGAAATTTAGTTCAAGTTTAGTTCATTAAAATATGGTTAAATAAGAAATAAATTTCTGACCATAACAATTAAACTTAAATAACTGAACATTGCCTTAGAATCAATCACACTTCCTTTAAAACATTCTTAAGATTATAAGATTAAATTAAATCGAAAGGATTCGATTTAAAATGTCCTTACAGTAATCTTTGTAAAAATAATAGTTTTACATTTTCAATTTAATATTTTTAACATTTAATTTTTTACTAACAAAATATTGTTGAATCTTATCAATAAGAAATCTTGGGAATATTCTTTCACTTCCATTCCAATTCTATGATTTTCTATAAAAAACACACAATTGCATAAGTATATAAGTATAAGTATGTATATGTATAAAAACTGTAAATCACTTTGCAATAGAAAATAATTTAAAATCGATTAAGTTTTTTTAATGCTTTTAGAAAACGTAAGATTTTTTTTTGCAATCCATTTATTTTCTATAAAATTTAATGTAAAAGCAATTTGAAGCAGTTTCTTTTTATGCAATTCCTTACGTTATTCAAATGCATCTTTTTAAAATTGAAATGACAAACATAATGAAATTATTTTTCAAGTCCCTTACAGTAATGATTTTATAATAAAAAAAACTATATGTACTACTTATGTGAGAAAATTGTGTAAGAAAGGTTATCTTGCCTTGAATTTTAACTTATAAACTTATTTTGTTTTTATTTTACATTTTTGCCGTGCTTCAGCTTGATCCAATTTTTGCTAAAATGGGCTCATCTATTGACGTTTGAAAAGCGTAGAGTATTTCGAATTGGAACTTTTGAAATTCCACAAGATTATTAAATATTAGTTAGAAAATAAAAGTAAAGAAAAGAGATCAGATTCAATTTTAAAAAATTCGTTGAATTTTTCGAATTTTTCTTGTAAATTTTTAATATCAACTTCAACTAGCGCTTAAGAAACTTATAAGGAGATTGATCACAACATAAAAACTAATCTTGATTTTAAATAAAATTCGTTGTCTTTTATTTGTCAATATTTTTTTCGTAATTCTTATATGTTTAAAAATTTTGTTTAGTTTTCGAATAGAATTTTAAAAATAACTCGTATACCAAGATTAAACCCAATAAAAATAACTAAAATAGTTAGGATTAAAGATAGTAGTTATATAGAAAAGTTAATTTAATAAAAATCTTTTTGTCTGCTTATTTAAAAATAATCTAATTCTTCTCTTTGGAAAGTGATTCTTCTCTTCCTATTTCATTTATGTGGTAATATTTAAAACTTATAGTTCCTTCTTACACAGACAATAAGACATAAGAACATTGCTTTTAAAATTTCTGATTTAATATTTATTATAAATCAATTTTTGAACAATATGGGATATTATACAGAGTTGAAGATGATGAATTAGAATTTGAATTTTTCTTTTGAAAATTGAATCATAAATCCTGTTACCATGTATTGATATCTGACATTTGTTATTAAAATGCATGACGACGTTTTGCATAAATCTTATTACCATTTTCTTTTTTTTTTTGTTTCAATTATCGTCCTGTATAGAATAGAATTGGTTAGTTATAACAAATTATGCAAAAAAAAAGAGAAACAGACATCTACAGCAAATTAAATTCACTTGTGCATCAAATCACCTCAATACAATTTCCAAAGAAATGAAATGAAAAAGGAATAAAGAATAATACAAAATGATTTTATAAAATTCGAAATAAGGAGTTTAAGAGCTCTTCAGGATAACATTAATATTTTAATGTTATAATCTTGTGAACATAGGAAAACATTTTGCATAGGGATTGAATAGAAAATTTTATTTTTGATATTTTTAATTTTGAATAATTTTTCTTGTTTTTTTTTGTAATAAAATAAATAGAGTGATAAGGTTAAAAATTGCATGTTCCATTTTGTCGCCTCTCTGGAAAGAGAAGCTTTCAGATTCAGTTATTTGAATGAAAACTCGTAAGAGTCATCCAGAATTTTAGGTTTTTAATACAAAGTTGGAACTGAAGTATGATTGTGTATTCAAAAGTAATTTGATATAAGAACTTTAATAAATAGTCCATTAAGTCAATATTAAAATAATGACGAGTCTCCTATAATTTGCAAAATTTTTTGAAAACAGAATTATCTGATTTGGTTAAGAAACTTATCGCCAGTATAAAATCAGCAAGACAAGTGTTAAAATAACATTTTGGATTTGAATTCACCTTTCTATAAGCCTTGAAATACAAGTGTGACTAATATAATTTGGATCATGAACAACATACAAATACCTACATTTTATTTATATAATATATAATATAATTTACTTACACATTAAAACAAAATTCGTTGGTGTTGCCATATTACGTTTATTTAATACAATAACAATTAATGTATTCGCTGTTACTGTTATTGGTAATAAAAATGGTGTTATATAACCATTTAATAATATACTATATTCGACTGGTGATAAACATGATACATTAAAATATGTAACATTATCGGAATCGATATCTTTACAAAATTCTCTTGGATATTTAAATTCATCATAATGTTCATGTTGTATTGATGATCTAATATCATATTGTGTTGTATCAATAATACCGATACCACTACCACCGCCACTACCAACATTACTTATACTACCAACACTACCACCACCGCTACCATTTTGTAATATATTAATTGATTCATTTTTTATACTATCATACATTTTTGATATACCATTTGTTGTTACTGCTGCTATTGCTGCTGTTGCTGTTGCTGCTATCGATGATTCAAATGGAAAATTAATTATTGAAGAATTTTCTGTTGTTGTTGCTGCTGATGCTAATGTTGATTCTATTGTTGGTATAATTGTTGTAGGTGTATTATTAGTTATTATTGTTGTTGCTGCTGTTATTGTTGCTGTTGTAACATTTAAAATTGTCGATGTTATCAATGATATATTATTATTGAATTGAATTGAGGCCATTTGTAGAATATCATTTGTAAGATTTTTTATTGTTTCATTCATATTATATTAATTTTTATTGTTGTTAATTTTATAAATCCTTTTGTTTTCATAATGTTAAAAATATATAATAATATAAATCAGGGTTTATTAATATATTTACATATGAAAAATATTTAATTATAATTTTATATTTGTTAATATTTTTTTTTTATTATTTAAAAAAATAAAGATTTTTATTGCACTATTATTGAATTGGTTGCCATTTACTCAAGTTAATTTTCATTTATTTATTTTAATGAAATGAAGGATAACGACAATTTCTGTAGGTATTTTCTCTATTGTTTAAAGTTCTTATTTAAATCCAGTTTTTAATATTGTTTTTTAATATTTAATAATATTTTATTTGTATTATGTAAAATTCATAATCAAGATATAAATTTATTTAATAAAAATTGTTTTTTATATTTTATAAATCGGTAATTAAATATCATTTTTCTGTAAAATATTTTCATTAATTTTTAAAAAATATTAAACACATGAATTTTTTTTTTTACTTAAATTCAATTAAATTAAATTTTGCTTTATTTTATGGTTTTTGAACATAAACTGTACTGATTTTTATGATTTTATAAAAGTTTCTTATTAAGCATTTAGTTTCCTTTTTTTCGTAATTTTTAATATATAGTTAAGGATAATAGAGTTTTGTGTTATACAATAAATGCTCACAGTTTATATTATTATATATAATAATTTTATATCTTTTTTGGTATATACATTTGACATTTATTAACTTTTATATATTCTTATTTTTAGTTTATTATTTTTTATTTTGTAAATTTTTAACATTTCTGTTATATAATATGAAAATTATTCATATTCATTTGGTATCTAATACCATATAATATAAAACTGTTATATATTTTTAAAATATATTATATGCATTTAAAAATAAGACAATATGGAATTTTTGAGAATAATATAAAAAAAAAAGGTTCTAAGGATCAAATGAATTTATTTCTATAATATTATGGGGGTATTACATTGACAAAATATGCATGTATTTGATACAGTTTATTATTTTCAAAAAAAAAAAAAATCTTTTACTTTTTATATGTTATAAAAGTTAAAAAGAATTTATATTTTTAGTATACTTAAATGTATTTGATTTATTTCATTAAATTCTTTTACTCTAGCAGAGGAGAACCAAGTTCAACCGAGTCAGAAATTGAATTTTTCCACAATGTGTACAAAATTTTCTTTTTTCTTTTCTATTTTTGCGTTTTTTTTTTTTTTTTTACTTTGTCTTTTATTTATTACATTGTTTTACATCTATATTATATGACAATATTAAATATAATGTTATATACATTTATTATGGAAATAATGTTATGTAATATAGAAGTATATGAATAAATGGTTGTTGTCTTTGATATTTTTATAGTTTACGGTTAAGTTAGTTAGGTTAGTTATTAAAATTTTTCTTCTTGTTTTTACAATATTAAATTCAAGTTGAAAGTGTAAAAATGTTAATAAAGTTCAATAATATTTTCTCTGTTTTTTATGCTTTTATTTTGTTGTTAAAATAAATTTATGTTAGCAGTTTTCAATTCTCATATATTTTTTTGTTCACTTTTCAAATTCTGCTACTTTAAATCGTTTTTTTTTTTAAGTTTTCTACTATTTTATGAATAAAATACTCCAAAAAAAAAAAGGGATTTAAAAATTTAAGAAGAAAAAAATAAAAACATTAAAAATATTCAATAAAAACCGTACCACATATGAAGTTTTTTTTTCTCAGTATACTTTGATTTTCTTATGCAAGGTTGTCGATTAAATTACGACACTGAAAAGTGAATAAATTCATGGATGATAAATTGATTTGATCACTCATTTTTTTTTATATATATTTGAATATTGTTATACAGTTTATATGTTTGTATATTATTAATAAAATATATTTTAATGTTACACTGTAGTTTATTTTTTTTTATGTAGAATTTGATGTACGACCAATTCCCTAAAGAGAATTGTTGTTTTTATTTCAATTTGTTAGAGGTATTTGTTTTTATTCTTTTTGTTAGAGGTAAAGGTCCTTTTACATGATGTTAATAATAGCTAAATTCTGGAAAAAGAAAAGAAAACAAAAAATATTTAAAACAAGGTAAAAAAAAAAAATTTTTATCGTAAATTTTAAAACTTTTGTTTTTTTTTTTGTTTTTTTTTTTCTAAAATTATTATAAAATTTGATGTGCATTCAATAAGACGTGTTTAGTCTCGCTAATATTTCAATTTTCAATTTTAATTTTTGATAAGACACTCTTGCTTATATTATAAAAGTGTTGCCTTAGTTTTTTTTTTATTTTTTTTTGAAAAAAGATTAAATAATAAAAAAACGTGTTAAAATGATTAAAGTTTTCTTGAATATAGAAAAACATTTTTTTCAAAATACTTACTTAAAAAGTATACGAGTATATTTTGCGATTAAAGCTATAAAAAAATGTGCAATATAATATTTTTTATGTACGATATAAATATTTAGTATAACACTTTAAGTTTGATGTTCAATAGTACTTAAATTTAATAATGACTTTATAATATAATATGTAAATGTTTAACATTGCATTACAATATTAACTAAAAATATTGGTAATAAAGACATTTACAGAACTCTTTTTTTATGTATTTGACAGTGTTTTATGGTATTCTCTAGCACATTGTTGCCATACTAAATTTAATTGGTATTTTGCATAATATTTAGCACAAGAATATATGATGGGGCTATTGACATAATATGAATGATATGATGGTATGATTATCAAGAAATGAATAGTAAATTTGAAGGAAAGAGGAATTTGATTTTAATAAATTTTGTGAACACGTTTGCTGGGCTTAAATTAATGGAAAAATTATTCTTTTTTTTTTTTTTTAAAATAATTTTCGAAATCAAATTTTTCTATATTCTTAAAACATTTTAAGATTTTATTGAAATAAATTATCGAAGTTAACCTATATTTTCGTCAGCTGTGGGATGACAAATTTTAGAGTTAGAGTGATTTGTAATTTGTTTTAAAAAGTTTAAATAAATTTCAGTCTAACGGTAAATGCCATGCCACTAAAAAGTATAATATTTTTTCTTAACTCACGACGTAATTAACCATTTTAAGCACTATTGGTAATGATTAACTCCGTTTTTTTTTTGTCTCATCCTAAAAGTATGCAAAATTTTCGTATATGAATGAAAAATTTTTTAATAAAGTAGTGGATTCATTTTAAAAGAAGTATTTTCACTTGTTAAAGGGAAAAATGCTAAAATGCAAAAAATTGGTTTGACTCAACTTCATTTTGAATTTGTTCTATTTCAAAAACCCTCATAAATGTCAAATTTAATTATTTAAGAATTGAATTATTTAGAATTGACTAACTCTTATTTATTTATCTTATGTAACTTATTAATTAAGGACGAAGAACACGAAAAATTCAATTCGGAATTACTGAAATCCATGATTTACTGTCGTTCACTTTAGTTAATTAATATTTTTAATATATAAAATTTTTTGTAAGGAACTGATATCTCATTAAAATGAAATAGTTTAAATTATCCGATCTTTAATTTTAAAATATTCGATCATAAATTTGAGACATCATCAATAATGCTATTCGAAACCAAAAAGTGTTTAAATAAAATTTTTGAATTTTCATTTATTTATGTATGTGTTTAAAAAATATCAACCTTCATTCTAATAAAATAGTATTAAAAGTAGATACTTTCAAAAATATATATGTATATTTGAATAGTTATGATTTACTAAAATTATAAAATTATTTATGACCTTACAGTGAAAAGGAAATGTTGTTTACTTTTTCAAGTATTTTTTTTTTAAGAAATTTCTTTATAAAACCACAATATTTATGTATGAAATGAATAACACTGGGTAATTGAACTTCTTCTATACACATATACATAAGTACATAGTAATTTTATACAGACAATATAAAATCTCAATATTATTAGAGAATGCATTTGACATTCTTATTTTATATTATTGTGTACATGCATAGTTTATGTGTATGAATAAAAAAATATTTCAAGTATGTCATGTTATAGTGGATATGTAGCATTGATATCCTTAAACATAAGGATTATAGTATTATATATTTTTATATTTATATAATAAAATATACAAACAAACCCGATGAACCTTTATAAATTTTGTATGTTTTGTTTAAATTTTCTATGTTTTTATGTATTAGATTATAAATAATAACAAGTTGAAAAATTCTTAAGTGTAAACATTTTAAATTGAACTTTGTATACAGCAGTCTTTATACAACATAGAACAGAGAAAATCAATATATAATAATATAGAAAATCTAAAATTTTCAAAAGAGTTGAATTTGTTATGGAACTTTTGTATTGTGGTTTGTATGTTATACAAGTATTTGATAATATTATACAAGGTTTCAGTTATCTGTATATATTTATTCAAAATGAATGCAGAGAATAGATGAAGAAAAAAGGACACAAATTCTATATTGAATAAGAGCAAGTCTTATATTATATTACATTGATTTATTGAATATTCGATATATGCAGTTAAATAATATATTGACTTACATATGTAAATAATAATTTCAGTGACACACCACTTTGATTAAAATTTATTGTATGAATTTAAGGATTTTATGTAGGTACATATTCATACATATGTACTATACTATATTTATAAGATTTCATGTATTTATTTATAATGTAAATTAAAATGTAAAACGTTTTCGAAATGAAGTGGAATAAAAGCATAAAAAGTATAACATTTTATCACTTATATTATAACAAGTGAGAATATAAAATAAAAAATTTAATGTAATTTAAATCAAGTGAATTAAAGAACATGTATTAAATGAAGGACATCTTTAAAATATAGAGATTTATGATATTCTACATCTATACATAATAAATTGTGTACATACATGCAGGAAAAATAAATATAATTCTTGATTTCTCTATAATTGTGGTAAAACAAATTTCAAAATAATTTTGTTAGAAATTATATTTAAGTATTATTTGATA